TCATTTCAAATCATTTGATTTGCGAGGATTCTTACTACGAAAACAATGATCGTTTTCCTGACTTCATTCATAAAATATATCAAATCAATATGTACACGTACTACAAAAAACAATGATATTATTCCTGACTTCAGTCATAAAATATATCAAATCAATATGTACACGTACTACGAAAACAATGATCCTCTGTCCCGAATTTATTCATTAAATATATCAAATCAATATGTACACGAACTACGAAAACAATGATCTTCTGTCCCGAATTAATTCATTAAATATATTAAATCAATATGAACACGTACTACGAAAACAATGATCCTATGTCCCGAATTTATTTATTAAATATATCAAATCAATATGTACACGAACTACGAAAACAATGATCCTCTGTCCCGAATTTATTCATTAAATATATCAAATCAATATGTACACGAACTACGAAAACAATGATCTTCTGTCCCGAATGTAGTCATTAAATATATTAAATCAATATGCACACGTACTACAAAAACAATGATATTATTCCTGACTTCATTCACAAAATATGTTTTCGTACTTACTTCAGTCATAAAATATATCAAATCATTATGTACATGTACTACGAAAGCAATGCTCTTTTGTCCTGAATTCATTCATAAAATATATCAAAACAATATGCACACGCAGTATAAACACGTACTGATTTCATTCATAAAATATATCAAATCATTACACATTAAGAATTTGTCTTGTATATATCAAATCAATAAGCACAGGTACTACGAAAACAATGATATTTTTCCTGACTGCGTATGTTTTCAAATTCAAATTTTCACCATTTTCGTGTTTAAATGTTAAAGTCTGCTTAAGCCGGTGCTAGGGAGCGTGGACGGTAACTTGCACTTTCCAGTACCGTCCATGAACAGGCTAAATCAAATCGAGCCTGCAACATTTTCAATTTTGCCTTGTTGGGCTGTCTTTAGGGATTCTGTTCTTCTCTATTTCATTCATAAAATGTATATTAAATCAATTTGTACACATACTACCAAAAGAATGATGTTTTTCCTGAATTCATTCATAAAATATATTAAATCAATATGTACACGCAGTATAAACACTTTAGGTAACGTACTGACTTCATTCATAAAGTACATTATATTTGTACTATGTACACGAACAACGAAAACAATGAAATTCTTCCTTACTGCATTCATAAAACATATTTAATCAATATGTACACACAATATGAACACATTTAGGTTTCGCACTAACTTCATTCATGAAATATTAGTATATGAAATCATTATGAACACGAACTATAAAAACAATGATCTTTTGTCCCTACTTCATTCATACAATTTATACAATTTAAGCAATAATAAGGTTTTGTCAGAAATAATATTCATTCAGTAGTCACCACAAAATCATTTACATAATTATTGGAATACGATCTGATAAAACGGTCGAATTCACAAACCAAAGCAAATTTACCCAAAAGATAATAGACATATTACAAAGGAGGCAATAGAATATATTTTATACAAAACTCAGAAAAGTGACTCAAATTTCCATTTATTACCATACCATTCATAACGTTCAAAATGGTCTTAATGAATATCTTTACCTAATCAAAACGAATATATTTACATGAAATATCACGATTTATCAGAAAAAAGAAAGTTTGCTGTGAACACATCTTCTATTAAATGAATCAATTACTAGCTATACAATTTTTGACAGTTTTTAGGGCCCAGTATAAATACGGTTGTTAGCTCGCTATCGCTAGGAGAGCGTTATACGTTTCTATTATTAGTTTGTTTTTGACAGGGTTGGCCCTTTAAAAAAGCGGTTGTTTGCACATATATTTAGAGCGACTAAAACTTGTAATACAACAAACATCCTTTATTTGAGAAAAAATGTTTCCTATAGCCAGTTTGTTTAAAGTGGAAAGTCTGCAAAACTGGATAGTCGCCCTATGACCATGGTAGTGCCTGTGCAACTTAAAAACAACAGCAAGTTTACCTTTTGAAGGTCACAGTGGCCTGACCTTTGACTTTTCCCCTGAAATTCAGTGTAAGAGGTAGAAAACATCAAGGGTAATCAACTTTGATGATTTAATGTGTATTGAACGTGTATTGTGTATTAAACGGCTATGGATGAAAACTTAACTTTGGTTGAAGAATTAACTTACGCCAACGCCGAAGTCAACAAGGAAGTTTTGGCAATACCATTATTTTTTCCGAAAAATGGAGCTCAACCTATAAAATATTGTTTTAAAAACATTTTTTAGGTGAACAAGATAACTCCTGTTTTCAAACGATAGAAGAGGAGATATTACCTTCATAAATTACCGATTTGAAAAATCACAAATTCACTATTTCAATTATTTCGATTTCATTTTTACACAATTGAACTTCACAAATTCGCGTTTTCATTTTATTTAACGATGAAGTAAAAATCGTAGTTACATGAATATCAATGTTGCAAGTCATAAATTCATGAAGTTGTTTTGATGAATTCATAAAGTTAAGAATGTCTCAATCAGTTTTACATAAGTTGGCATCAATGGCGGATAGATTGGTCTTTATGGATGAAAAATACAGATAAAATTAACACTTACAAATGTCGATTCAATTACAAAATATAATGTTGCGAAACCTTTAACAGCAGTGCTTCCTTTAACATTCAATACAACTTTAATTATCATACCCCTGCGACCAGTGCAAACAAAGTTCAGCTGGCAATTTCTTATCGTCTGACTATGTTCGCTCAGTTATTATATTATCATTATTATTAATATTATTATTATTATTATTAATTTACCCTTAAAGGAGAATGGTTTAAGCCAGATCTAGATTAAAAGATGGACAGATCCATATATGATATTTCGAGTGGTGAGACATCGTGACACTTTCATTGTAATTAGTACAAACGCTATCGAATTTAGAAGATTCGAACGTTATTTACACAGCGTATTTTTCATTTTCACTGTTATTTATATAACTGACATATTTCTCGCTAAACTTGATTTCCACAATATTTGTTGACAAGTTATTTCATTTCTGGAACATCAGGTCATTTAGCAATTACCCTAGATATTTTTTTGCCCGATAATAATGTTTAGGCCAAATTTTATTAAAATAAGATTTTACGGGACTGATATGGGTTTGATGCGGCGAGGTTTGTGGAGTTGGATTAATCACCTGCTATGAGAGCTTTTATGCTTAAGTTGAAGACAAATGAAAACATGTTTAACATGACAGTGGCTTTGAATAAGGAAACCTCTAAATCTAGACAAATGACAGCAGTTTCACTCTTTCCATTTAATTTGGGTTTAGTGTGGGTCCGATGACCTGAGGTTCTTTGAGCTATGATTTTTTTTTTGATGTTGATAGCCTGTCAGACAGAATATTTAATTTTTTTTACATTGTACATTATTCGGTTTACGATAATTATTTAGAAAAGACCGTTGACATTCTTGTGGCCAGATATTTGAACTTTTACCTGATCGCTTTAAAAACATAAAAAAGTATTTCAGATGGCAATTAAAAATACCACTATAGATAAATGAAAAAATTGTTTGTTTTTTAATTTCTCTGACAAAAATAACATTAACGTTCTTTTAAGTAGCGACTAGCCCGTTTGTTGTTTTTTATATACATTTATATGTAATTGCGAGAAGCTCATGACGTCACTTAAAATTGTAAAACCTATTTGCTACTAATTCATTCGTAGTGGGTAAAAGATGATATAATAATTATATATTGTAATAAAAGTGAGCCCGTTAAAAATGTGCAGGGCAATTTTTGAAATGAAAAATTTTAAAAAATGGGGGAAAATGTTATCGTAGTTCCATGCAGTTGCAGGGAAAATTTATGGTTTAAAAAAGGATGTGGGTTTAATCAAAAAATTCATAAGTTTTTATGAAAATTTCTAGATTCTTTAAAAGAATGAATTAAAAATCTGATTTTGGCCTCTAAAAACACTTTTCCCAAAAGAATATTTTAAAATTATTTTATAGGTTTTTCCC